GTGCCTCAAGTACGAAGGGTAAGTACTACTTTGTGAACCTTTTTTGGGGAAAATATACGTCTCTCCCTGAGCACTAGGTGGGTCTGGGACCGGCTGCAGCCGCCTGCTCCCGGAGCGGCACTGAGACAGCAGCGAGTGTTCATGAGCCCGGGGCTGAAAGTTCCCCAAGTCTCCCTGAGGGGCGGTCTAGCCTGCGGTGTGGCCTGTGTACCCACGTTTGCACCGGCGTGAAGCCCACACGAGGCGATGACAGCACGTCTGGGTCTGGGTGCGTGGGGGAATGTGGTGTGTCCTGAACCCTCCTGCCAGGAGCGGGGAGTTTCTCCCGGGGCGAGGCTACTTGTTGGCAAACTCACTGCCAGGGTCAGGATTTCTGTCCGTGTGTTTCTGTTGGCATCTACCTGTGGGTGTGGCTTTATGGCATTTTTGACTGCCCTCGCCCCCCCGGGCTGTGGCTAGCTTTGGGATAGTCCAGGGGAGGGGGTGTCTTTCCGGGGCAGTGATTCTGTGTGCATCCCTGGCCCCCGGTCCCCGACGGGCCTCGGGGTACGTTTCACTGGGTGGACACGGCCAAAGGGCTGAACTCTGGAGCTGGTGTGCGCCCAGCAGTGGACGACCCTGGGGTTTCTGCGTGTGTGTGTGTGTTGGGGGGCGGCGGGATGTGTTCATGGCTGTGTATTCCTCCGATGGCCCTTAAGTTTCCTTGTGTCTGTGTTGTGCAGGCTGCAGCCCTCGGAGGTGCCTTCTGAGTGTGGGCGGAACCCGTTTCTCAGGTGTGTTTCTGGGGTAGAGGTTCCGTTGGGTGCCTTGCTGGGTGGGTGGAGCCGACTTCTCTGGGTGTGGCTGGGAGGGCAGGGACTGTGTCTCATTCACTACTGTGTTCCCTGAACCCTCCTGCCAGGAGCGGGGAGTTTCTTCCGGGGCGAGGCTACTTGTTGGCAGAGGAGAAAGCATCAAGGAGAAAGCCTGGCCAAGAGGAAACCTCAACTAGTATTCGTCAGATGACAGTTGGTTGAAGGAGACCCTCTCTAGTGGGTTTTGGGAGTTTCCGAGGGTGTGCACCCCGAGTCTGCCGTGGAGTTTCTCCACATCGATATGAGCGGTGATGTAACGGCATGTGAACTGCAGATTCCCGCGACCCTTTCCCCTCCCCCAGCACATCCGGTGGTCGTGTGCCCCTTCAGGTGTGTGTGTGTGTGTGTGTGTGCTCGGGCAGGACACCATGTGGAGAGCTGGCCAGCTGAGCGTGTTGTCTGTGACCGTGTTTTGGAGGGGGCCCACCATATCTCCTGGCGAGTGTCTGCGTTCCCCAAGAGAGGTCTGTTGTCATCGGGTGTCTTTCTAGATGCGTGTGATGTCAGATTGTCTGGGGGGTCTGCCTCCAGCCGTCTTTTGTGTCTATCTTCACACCGGTCTGTGGTCGTGCTTGGGAGGGGGCCAGGCCACTGTTCCCGTGTCGTGTGTCCACAGAGGTATGTGTCACAGAGAGCCACGCTGGAGGGAGTTTCCAGAATGGCTCATCCTGGTACGAGGGGTGTTTCTCGGGCTCCGGCTGGCTGATATCTGGTTTTGTTCAGTGTCTTGGCTGTGCCCCTGCCCGCTTGGGGGGGTGTCGTGGTGACAACAGTGTGTGGGCTACATTATGGGCGAGGTTGTTTTGATTCCAATGCATCTCCAAGCACAGGGTGTGTCTGTAGACACCGGTCCTGCTGGCTGTGGCTCCCAGCCATGGGGTCCGTCTGTGTCTCAGTGTCGGGGTGCCCGGCCCTGTGACAGTCCCTGCCTCGCTCCAGGTGTGTGTGTGCACGGCTGAGATCCCAACCCCACTGCACAGGCTGAGTCTGCCTTAGCTCTTCCTCTCTGGCTGTGTCTTGGGGTCTGTGTTTCTGAGTTCGCATCAAGGGGACTGGGAGAACTTTCCACCCCCAGACCCATTTCGTCATCAGTCACCATTTCCAAAGTACCAACTCCAGAGACACAAACGCCCCAACATACACTGCCAGTGGCTCCAGACAGAAATGACCAGCATTCACCGTAAGAAATTTGGGTCTAGCCCTAGCCGGTTTGGCTCAGTGGATAGAGCGTCAGCCTGTGGACTGAAGGGTCCCGGGTTCGATTCCGGCCAAGGGCACATGCCTGGGTTGCAGGCTTGATCCCCAGTAGGGGACGTGCAGGAGGCAGCCAATCAATGATTCTCTCTCATCACTGATGTTTCTATCTCTCTCTCCCTTTCCCTTCCTCTCTGAAATCAATAAAAATATTTTAAAAAAAGAAAAGAAATTCGGGTTTGTTTCCGCCTATCTGCCTCATTTGTCTCTCCAAGGGTTAGTGGTGTGAGTCTGTGGGCGTCTCGCTGGCTGGAGCCCAGGCAAGGTCACTGGTCTCTTCCTGAATTCCCTGCCCGCCTCTCCCCTCCAGGAAGCGCCCAGCATAGGCCTCCACCTCCAAAACTCCTCTGCCAACACCTACCCTCTATCAGCCCAACCCAGGTCCCCCCTGGGGGCAAGAGAGAGAAACCACACCCCCATCAGCCTCCTCTCCCATCAGCCAGGCGGGTCAGGACCCCCCCACCACCACCACCCAGCCGGCGGCACAGCCTCCCCCAGCACAGCCCAGAACCGAGAGAGAGGAACCTGGGGACAGACCCGGTCATCACATGCCGCCCCCGAGACCCACTCACCTCGCACGAGGACCACCTGCTCGGCCCGGCCCGTGCCCACGGCATTGCTGACGGTGCAGATGAAGGTGGTGTTGACAAGCCTATCCACCGGGTGGACCATCAGCTGGGGGCCCTGGACTTTTGCTGAGGCTGGTAAGGAGCCTGAGGTCCTGGAGAATGTGGGGGTAACATGAGGGGGACAGGGGTCCACAGAGCACAGCCTTGATGACACAGCCCTCAGGAGCCAGGCTCCAGGGACCCTGCGCTGTGCGCTCCCTCCTTTTGGAGGATTCCCAGTTCAGGCCACAGCCCCTCCTCCTTCAGACCCAGGAGCCAGACCCCCTCCTCCCTCAGACCCAGGAGTCCAGGCCCCCAGCCCCTCCTCCCTCAGACCCAGGAGTCCAGGCCCCTGCCTCCTCCCTCAGACCCAGGAGCCCAGGCCCCCAGCACCTCCTCACTGTGGCTCCCTCAGACCCAGGAGTCCAGGCCCCCAACCCCTCCTCCCTCAGACCCAGGAGTCCAGGCCCCCAGCCCCTCCTCCCTCAGACCAGGAGCCCAGGACCCCAGCCCCTCCTCCTTCAGACCCAGGAGTCCAGGCCCCCAGACCCTCCTCCCTCAGAACCAGGAGTCCAGGTCCACCCAGGACTCACGTGCTCCAGACATAGTCTGTGGCCACCGGGTTGCTGCGGACATCACAGTTCAGAGTGGCCTCACTACGGCCGAGGTACCAGTTGTCGTCATAGCCAGAGATGGAGACCTCGGGGGGATCTGGAGGAAACAGGGGGATTGGCTCAGAGAGGGGAGAATCCCAAAGGGGATGACAGGCAGGCAGACAGACGGAATCCTATAGAAATGGAATAGGTTGGCAGGAGGTGAACCTGTGGGAACCATCAGGGGCGAATCCCTCCGGTGTGTCTGTGGAGGCCAGTACAGGGACCCCGCTCCCACCACTTGGGGGAAGTTTTTCTCAGCGCAGGCAGTACCCTGGGGGCTGCTACCAACTGTGCTATTTTCTCTGCAGCGTAGATAAGGGAATCTGGCTGAGCCTTGGTCTAAGCCAGTGGTTCTCAACCTGTGGGTCATGTCCCCTTTGGGAGTCAAACGACCCTTTCACAGGGGTCGTCTAAGACCATCGGAAAACACAGATATAATTGCATACTGTTTTTGTGATGAATCACCATGTTTTCATTATGTTCAATTTGTAACAATGAAATCGGGGGTCATCACAACCTGAGGGTCGCGGCATTAGGAAGGCTGAGAACCACTGGTAAGCGAAGGCGTTGTTGGGAGGAGGGTGAGCGTGTTGCTGTGGGTGACTGAAGGACAGCGCTGGTGGGCACAGTGCCAGGGGAGCCTCTCGGGCCGCATGAGGGGGTGTGCGTGTGCGCAGTGTTGGGAAGAGCTGGCATAGAACATCCTGGAAGGGGCCAGTACTGTCAGGGCCCAGTGGGGTGGATGGGAATCATTTTCGGAGGCAGGAGTTGGTGTAGAGACCCTAAGAAAGTCGATAGAAACCGTGTGAATGAGCGTGTGTGTGTGTAGACAGTGTTGGTGCAGGCAGTGTAGACGCCGAGTGGATGATACAGACAGTGGGGGCAGTGTTTACACTGACGGTGGCCGCGTGGAGCCAGGCAGACGACACGGGGGCAGTGTGTGACTGTGGCCGGGGAGCCGGGGTGGAAGTACAGGCGAAGGGCAGGTAGGCAGGGCAGAATGTGGCCCAGAGCCAAGGTGGACAACACTGAGGGGCAGTGTAGACAGAGCCCGGGGAAGCCGGCGTGGACAGCAGGAGAGGTGCGGTCACGGTGATGCACTCACAGCGCACAGAGAGGGTCACGGCCAGCAGGTCCGGCTCCTCCAGGGCCTCGTGCTCCACCTTGCAGGTGATCTGGACGCCATTGACTTGGCTCGAGGGCACCACGGCGTAGCGGCTGGTGACGGTGACTGTGCCGGCCAGGGGCCCTGCCGTCTCGCTCTCCTTGGGCTCCCCACGCAGGGGCGAGAGCCAGGAGATTTTGGCGGGTGGGCGGCCCCCCGAGGAGACACAGAGGGCCACGGGCACCGGGTCCGAGCGGAGCGTGACCTCCTGGGCCTCAACGCGGTTCTGGGGCTGGGCTGGGAGAAGAACGAAGGGGGTGGTGGTCACAACGGAGCCGAGCGGGGCAGCCCCCACGCCCGTGTTCAAACCCCGGGCCTGCTGCTTAGCAGCTGCGCGGCTTTGGACACAAGTGATTTCCCAACTCGGTACCTCGGTTCCCTCTCTGTAAAGTGGGGACAATAAAAGTGCCCGCTCCATGGAATGGTTGTGTGGACTAAATACACGGATACCCAAATACACTGACGGGTGCCTGGCACGCACGGCTCAACCTAAGCACTAGCCATTATGTCCTGCAGCCAGTGTCCGCTCCCTGCTCTGCTAGACAAGCAGAGTGTCCAAGAGCCTGGGATTTAAAAAGAAAAGCCAGCCGAAACCGGTTTGGCTCAGTGGATAGAGCGTCGGCCTGCGGACTGAAAGGTCCCAGGTTCGATTCCGGTCAAGGGCATGTACCTGGGTTGCGGGCACATCCCCAGAAGGAGATGTGCAGGAGGCAGCTGATCGATGTTTCTCTCTCATCGATGTTTCTAAACTCTCTATCTCTCTCTCCCTTCCTCTCTATAAAAGTCAATAAAATATATTAAAAAAAAAAGAAAAACAAAGAAAAGCCAGCGCAGAACAATGTGGCCCAGAGGTCCAGCTGAAGGCCTCCTTCTTCTCCGCTAATCACCACTAATTGTGGTGGCAGAAGTGGGATAAAGGCAGTGAAGAAACCCGAAGCTCATCAATTTTTTTTGCCCTTTTCACCCATCCTCTTGGAAAACATTTGGAGGAATGAAAACCTCCAGGAGGAACAATGCCAACCCGTAGGTCTGGATGCGTGTCCATAATCAGAACTGGCCCCTGAGCTCTGACTCACAGCGCTCGCTGCCTTCGGGACCTCATCGGGGTGTCTCCTGAGCTTCTGAATGCGGGACAGTCCTCCTCTCTGTTCACCTCTTCCCCTTCTCCCTGACCAGCACAGCCTCCGAGGGGCCTCCCCACATCTGCCCTGGCCACCCCACCATCTGTCCTCGGACCGCTCCAGCAACGCCCGCCCCTGCTCCTACCCATCGTGGGGGTCTGGTCTCCCTTCTCCTTGGCTTGCTCTTCCTCCTCCTCCGCTCCCATCCTCACTTCCTCACGGAGCTTTCCTGACACCTGACTCTCTCAGTGGTCACGCTCACTCACGCCACCTGCTCCCTCCAGGAAGCAGAGCGGGCTGCCCAGCGCTCCCCGCCGCAGGTGCCCTCAGTGTCAGGTGCCCTCAGTGTGTCTCTTGAACCGAACAAATGATTGCACAAGAGAGACCTTTGGGAAGGGCGGGGAGAGGGGAGCTGTGCTTTGAGTTGAGTGAAACGACTGGTTTCAGCTCCTTAAAAAGAGAAGTAAACACTGTGGGGCTGTCCGGCGGAGTCCTCCGGAACGCTGTGGGGCTGAGAGGGGAAAATACACGGCCAGGGTGACACGGCTTCTGGGAAGCTGCTGGGGAAAGGTGAGATTCCAGGGGAACGCCAAGATTTAGCGAGAAATAGCATCCTTTGGGGAAAAAGTGCCCTCCCTGATTCTGCCCATTCCGCTTACTGAGGGGCGGGGCCGGTCACCCTCCTGCTGGAGCCAGAGGCTGGGAGTCCTTCCCGGTCCTCCTCCAATTCAGGGACAAGCCCTACCACCTCCGAAAAGTACCTACATTCCACCCACTTCTCTCCACCCCGTCACCGGCACCGCTTCCTCCTCTTCGAAGCCAATGCTTCTCCCGTCTGATCTCCTGCCCGTGTCTCTGCCTTTAACGCCCCCTCCCCCCGTTTTATCTTTTCATAACTTAACCATCTGATCAGGCTGCTTTTGTGGTCTAACCCCCTCTGACGGCTCCAGCCTCCTGGCCACCGCGGCCTGTGAGGCCCACGCGGTCTGGCCCTGTTGGTTTTCCTGCCTCGAGGGTCACTCAAGCCCTTGCCACCAGCCTCCTTTCTGTTCCTGGAACATGTCAAGCTCGCTCTCACGCCCCAGCTTTTGCATATGCTGTTCCCTCTGCTTGTGCCTCCGTTCCTCTGCTTGTGGCTGCAGCCCATGGGCAGCCTTCTTCTTCAGCGTTCCCTGGCCGTTCTCTCTAAATAAGGCCACTGGATCTCTTACGCCGAGTGAGCATTACAACATTCTGGCATTTCTCTTGTTCACTAGTTGATTATCCTCTGGCTTTCCCTCTAAAATACTTCCCACGCCCTAACTGGTTTGGCTCAATGGATAGAGCGTCGGCCTGCGGACTGAAGGGTCCCGGGTTTGATCCCAGTCAAGGGCATGTGCCTTGGTTGCGGGCACATCCCCAGTAGGGGGTGTGCAGGAGGCGGCTGATCGATGTTTCTCTCTCATCGATGTTTCTAACTCTCTATCCCTCTCCCTTCCTCTCTGTAATTCAATAAAATATATTTTAAAAAAATAAAAAATAAATAAAATACTTCCCACCCCCTCCACTGCCTCGCCCTTGGTTTGGTCGTCATCACTTCCTTCCCAGGCTTATGCAGTCACCTCCTCTGAGGTTTCCCAGCTTCCACTTTCGCCTCCCACATGCAGCGGGAAGGAGCCTGTGAAAACCCAAGTCCGGTCACACCTTTCCCTGCTCAGACTTTCCGTAGCTCTTGTTCTCCTAGATCAAAAGCCAGAGTCTTCATGTTGCCTACAAGGCCGTCTATGACCTTCACCTCCCTTGACCTTGTCCCTGCCGACTTTCCCCCATTCATGCATCTCCAGCCACACAGACTCCTTTGCTCTTCCTTAGATATTCCAGGAGCAGCCTACCTCAGGGCCTTTGCACTAACTCCCCGCGCCTGAATTCTCTTCCCTTACATAGACATACACGGCGCCGTCACCTCATTCCAGTTTTTGTTCAAATATTGCCAGACCTCCCTAAACTTGTAACCTGCTCCCCACCAACTTCTACAGCACCTACAGCCACCTGACTCACTCTTCTTCTTCTTTTTACTTACTCTCTGGCACCCCTTTACTCGAGTATAAGCTCCAGGAGGACTTTATCCCTAGAGCCTAGAGTAGCGCCTGGCACACAGTAGGTATTCAATATACTATGTTTGTTGAATGCCTTGTTGGCTGCTATATTCCCAGCTTGCAGAACAGCATCTGGCAAACAGTACTTGCTTAATACTTGCCAACTGACTGAAGACCGCGGAGAAAGCAGAAATAGACCAGCAAGGGGCTCTCCCAATCCCCCCCATCCCCGCCCCTGCTTACCTATGGTTCTGAGCCAGGTCACTCCACGACTGGTGCCCAGGGGGAAGGTAGCAAACTCGCAGGAGAAGTTGCCCTCATCCTCCACTCTCAGGTCTTGGAGGACCAGCGTGGCGTCCCGCATCTCGGAGCCTTGCCGGGCACCGGGGCTCTGCCCCATGGTGCGGAAGGACAGCCGGTCCTTGCCAAACTGCGGGCTGGGGAAGCTGAGACCATGGGAAGGGTGGAAGGCGGCCACACTCTGAGGGTTCCCGGACGGGTCCAGACGTTGCCATGTCACCTGTGAGACGTTGCCTTTAGGCCCTGGCGACAGCAGGTGGCACGGCAGCTCCACTGTGTCCCCCAGGCGGCCCCGCACCTCGGGAGGCATGCTAACTCGCCCATTCTGGGCTCCTGGGGAGAGAGCAGAGAGAGAGGTGGATGGGGGGAGCACCCAGACCTCCAGGCAGGGCGGGGCCAGCACGGAGGGGGCCCCGTGGGAAAACACCATGCTCAGCTTTCTGGAAGTTACGAGTCCAAAAATGCCAGCCAGAAAAGACATTTTGTGAAAAACTAGGAACATCTGAGTCCGGACTATATGACATATTATTATGGAGTTACTGTTAATATTCTTAGATGGTTTGAACAAATGAGGGCTATATGGTATTCCTTTTTCTTAGAAAATGTAGGATTAAATGTCATGTCTGCAACATACTCTCAAATGCTTTTTCAGCAAAAACCATAAAAAGTGGTGAAACAAATGTGGTAAAATGTTATATACTGTCAGGTATAGTTGGGAGGGGCTGTTCTTCCAACTCATACATGTATGTTTGAAATTTTCCAGTATTAAATGTGGGAAGAAAAAAAATCCTCTGAAACAAAACTGATTTTAAAAAAATAGCCTATTCCAAAATAAATTTTTAAAAAATATTTTTATTGAGTTTATTTATTCAGAGAGGAAGGGAGAGGGAGAGAGAAACAGAAACATCAATGATGAGAGAGAATCATTGATTGGCTGCCTCCTGCACACCCCATACTGGGGATTGAGCCTGCAACCCAGGCATGTGCCCTGACCAGGAATCGAACCTGTGACCTCCAGGTTCATAGGTTGATGCTCAACCACTGAGCCACACCCGCTGGGCTCCAAAATAAATTTTTAAAAAACTTTGAGCCCCCCTCCCACCCACTCCTTCTCCCTCAAAAAAAACACAAGAAAAAATAAACAAAAACAAGTTTTGAGCCCTAGCCAGTTTGGCTCAGTGAAGAGCGTAGGCCCTCAGACCGAAGGATCTCAGGCTCTTCAATTCCGGTCAAGGGCCCACACCTTGGGGCTCCACCCCTGGCCCCAGTTAGGCATGTGTGGGAGGCAACCAATGGATGTCTCTCTCACATTGATGTTTCTCCCTCTTTGTCTCCTCCCCTCATTTCTACTCTCTCTAAAAATCAATGGAAAAATATCCTTGGGCCCTGGCTGGTCAGGCTCAGTGGATAGAGCGTTGGCCTGCTGACTGAAGGGTCCTGGGTTTGATTCCGGTCAAGGGCACATGCCCGGTTGTGGGCTCGATCCCCAGTAGGGAGTGTGCAGGAGGCAGCCGGTCAATGAGACTCTCTTTTCATTGATGTTTCTGTCTCTCTCCCTCTCCCTTCCTCTCTGAAATCAATACAGATATTTTAAAAAGAAAAGAAAAATATCCTTGGGTGAGGATTATAAATAAATAAATAAATAAATAAATTGAAGTGCGAGGACTGTCTTCATCTTTTTCTGCACAGTAATGTACTTTCCTTCACCTTTCTATAAAACCTACAGCTCTCGCCCTAACTGGTTTGGCTCTGCGGATAGAGCGTCGGTCTGCAGACTCAAGGGTCCCAGGTTCGATTCTGGTCAAGGGCATGTACCTTGGTTGTGGGCACATATCCAGTAGCGGGTATGCAGGAGGCAGCTGATCGATGTTTCTCTCTCATTGATGTTTCTAACTCTCTATCTCTCTCCCTTCCTCTGTAAAAAATCAATAAAATATATTTTTTAAAAAAACCCTACAGCTCTCTCTGCCTATCTTATTTTTCTTTAATATATTTTTATTGACTTCAGAGAGGAAGGGAGAGGGTGAGAGAGATAGAAACATCAATGATGAGAGAGAATCATTGATCGGCTGCCACCTGCATGCTACCCCCTGGGGATTGACCCCGAAGCCTGGGCAGGTGCCCTGACTGGGAATGGAACCGTGTCTTCCTGGCTCATAGGTGGACACTCAACCACTTAGCCAGGCAACTTATCTTATTTTTTAACCTAGGCTGATTGAGATGTAATTCCTATCCATCCATTAAAAGCGTACAATTCAATGGTGTTTCCTGTCTTCACAAGAGTTGTGAATCCATCGCTATAATCAATTTAGGACTTTTTGTTGTTGATGTTGATCCTCACCCAAGAACATTTTTTCCATTGATTTTTAGAGAGAGTAGGAAGAGAAGGGGGGAGAGGGAGAGGGAGAGGGACAGGGACATTGATGTGAGAGAGACACTTCGATTGGTTGCCTCCCGCATGTACCCCAGCCAGGCTTGGGGACTGAACCTGCAACCTTGGCATGTGCCTGTGACTGGGAATTGATTTCAGGCCTTCGCTCTAACCACTGGTGCACCAGCCAGGGCTAGGACATTTTTGTAATCCCCCAAAGAAACTGCTGAAGCCGCTAAACAGTCACTCCCTCTTTCACCCTCCCCTCAGCCCCGCCCA